GGTGTGTGTGTGTCTGTGTGTCTGTGTGTCTGTCTGTGTGTGGTGTGGTGTGTGTGTCTGTGTGTCTGTCTGTGTGTGGTGTGGTGTGGTGTATGTGGATATGTGCATGGAGGCTATATGTCCAATGCCATTCTCCACCTTACTTTTTTTATCTAAATTCTTTAATCACTACTCATATCTACATATCCATCCCCCCATTCCCTCGCCCTCCCATTCTCCCATGTTCCCCACCAACCTCCACCAACCCATTCCCCAACTCCTCCCCAGGCATAGTGAGGCCCTCCACCAGGGACCTTCAAAGTCTGTCATATCATTTGGGGGAGGGCCCAGGCCCTCCCTGCTGTATCTGGGCTGCAATAATATACATCCATAGGGAATGGGCTCCTAAAGTCCATTGTGCTCTAGGGTTAAAGACGGCTCCACTGTTAGAGGTCCCATAGACTGTCTTGGCCTCCTTGCTGGCACCCACATTCAGAGGACTTGGTTCGGTCCAATGCTGTTTCCCCAGCTTTATGACTAGGGTCTCCATGCTCTCACTAGGTCAGGTCAACTGTATCTGTGGGTTTCTGCAGCACCATCTTGGCTCCTTTGCTCATCCCCCCTCCCTCTCCACAATTGGATTCCAGGAGTTCAGTGCTTAGCTGTGGGTGTCTGTTTCTGCTTTGAACACTACTGGATGAAGGCTCTAGGAATGGTAACTAAGGTAGACACCAATCTCATTATAGGGGGAGGGTATCAGTGGCATCTTCACCACCACTGCTTGGATTCTTAGTTGGGGTCATCCTTATGGATCCCCTAACATTTCCCCTGTGCCAGACCTCTCTTCAAACCTGTACTGTCTCCCTCTGTCAAGGCCTCTCCTTTCCTGCTCTCCTCTACTCCTCCCCTGTCTCAGGCCTCTTGTTCTCCACCCTCCCCTTCTTCCCTTCCCACCTCCTTCCTCTCTACCCACTCCCTGTGCTCCCACTTTGTTCAGGGGTTCTTGTCCTCCTCCCCTTCTTCGAGGGACTATGGAATCTTCTCTTGAGGTCCTCCTTGTTTCCCAGCTCCTCTGGCAGTGTGCCTTGTAGACTGGTAATCCTTTGTTCTATGTCTAAAAAATCATGTATGAGTGAATACATACCATGTTTATCTTTTTGTGACTGGGCTACCTCACTCAGGATGATTTCTTCTAGTTCCATCCATTTGCCTTCGGATTTCAAGGTACTGCTGAGTAGTACTCCACTGTGTAAATGTACCACATTTTCTCTATCTGTTCTTCAGTTGAGGGGCATCTAGGTTGCTTCCAGGTTCTGGCTATTGCAAATAATGCTGCTTTTTGACACAAGATCTCTCATTAAACCTGGTGTTCACTGATTGGGCAAGAGTGGTTGGCCAGCATTCTTCCTGTCTCTGCTTCCCCAGCACTAAGATTACAGGCATGTAACACCATATCTGGCTTTTTATGTGGGTGCTGGAGATACAACAGTTCCTCATGTGTATATGGCAAGCACTTTACAAACGGAGCCATTTCCTATCTCTTGTTAAAGACTTTTTAAATTAATTTTTTAGACAAGCTTTCCTGGCTGGCCTGGAACTTGCTGTGTAGATCAAGCTGACCTAGAACTCACAGAGATACACATGCCTCTGCCTCCTAATTTCTGGGATTAAAGGTATGAGCCGCTACACTCAGCCTTTTCTTTTCTTTTTTTTTTTCTTTCTTTTTTTTAATTTATGATGTATACAGTGTTCTGTCTGCATGTCTAACTACATGCCAGAGGAAGGCACTAGATCTCATTATGGATTGGTGTGAGCCACTCTTTGATTGCTGGGAAATGAACTCAGGACCTCTGGAAGAGCAGCCAGTGCTGTTAACCACTGAACCATCTCTCTAGCCCCTATACTTTTACTAAGTATCTGTGTTCATAAGGGATGTTGCTGTATGGTCTCTAGTTCTTACACTATTTTTGGTGGCTTTAATGTTGGGAATTATGACCTATAGGACAGCTTACTGGAAAGTATGGAACTATGTTAACTCTCCTGTTTGGTAGAATTCATTGGCGAATCCATTAATTAGATCCTGGGCTTATTTCTTTACTTTATTCTTGAGTTGATCTCTTGTTCCTGAGTCACTTTTTTTTTTTTTTTTTTGGTTTTCGAGACAGGGTTTCTCTGTGTAGCTTTGGAGCCTATCCTGGCACTCACTCTGGAGACCAGGCTGGCCTCGAACTCACAGAGATCTGCCTGCCTCTGCCTACTGAGTGCTGGGATTAAAGGCGTGCGCCACCAATGCCCAGCCCTGAGTCACTTTTTAGTTTGTTTCTTGGTGAATACAAAGCCCCAATTCCCCCTGCAATGAGGCAACTGTTTCCCAAGGGCTGAGTTAGGTGATCTTAAGGAAATAGTTGGACTTGGAGGTTGCCCAGCCTTTCCTGGGTATTATGGCATTAGAGATTGCCACGGGAAGTTAAAAGTTTATGTCACTCTAGTGAGTATACCTAGCCAGATACTGCATTTGGCTTTTACATAGGTTTGGGGATCAAAAAGGTAAATAGCAAAAGTAGAACACCTGTGGGATGACTAATCCTGGTTATCAGTTTATTGGATTTGTAATCAACTAAAAACCACGCTGCTGTGCAGTCCTGTGAGGCAGCTTCTTGATCAGGTTGCTTGACTAAAGAAGCAAGATTAAACATAAAGGGAGGGAGAAGAAGGAAGCTTTACTGTTGACTAATCCTTAACACACTGGCAAGCTCACCTGTCTGTTGGCTGTTGAAGCTGCTACTGCTGTTCTCTCATATAAAAATCTAGCTGCTTTGAGATTCCAGTGTGGACTGAAGACTCACACCCTCTAGGAATCCTCAAGGCCTT